GGGGGGGGGGGGGGGGGGGGGGGGGCGGCTGAGTTAGTCTGCTATCGCAGACTAACGGCGGTGCGAAGATATAAATTTTACCGGTTTGTGTGGTGAAAACAATTTTACAAACGAGCGCAGCGAGTGAGTAAAAAATATTGTTTTCAGTTTTCACCACTGCTGGTTTTCACCACGAGAAGATAAAATAATAATAAGATATGAAACTTGAAGCCACCGTGTATTTAATGTTCTTTTTATTATATAGTCATTAGTAAAAATAACAAAGAAAATGAACACTTACAGTCGATTTCAACTTACTTTTCACTCAAATGTTCCGAACTTCGCAAATTCGTTGTCATGAAGTTCAAACGTTCATAATGAAATTCACAAACAGGTTTGTAAACTGGGCATTTGATTGGCTGGTTTGATTTAATAGCCAATCAGAGGCTTTGTTTACAAACCTGTTTGTGAATTTCATTATGAACTTTAGAACTTGGCAACGAATTTGCGAAGTTCGGAACGAAGTTCGGAACATTTGAGTGAAAAGTAAGTTGAAATCGACTGTAATCGATATCTTCACTAGTGGAGATCTAGTTATGGAAAATATCTCACTGACACTGTGTATTTTTTGTGTCCGGCACTGTCTACTATATAATAAATTAGGGTACGAATGCTTTTGTTTCGAATTAAGAATAAAATGAAGTACATGATATGAAAAAGGTATCTCTGTAAAAAGATTTATTATAACATTTAAAAATTGTGCCAAAACCATGTCAGGTCAGGGGGCAGATCATTAATCAGGTACGGACTAATAGCGGCTGCTTAAATTGCCATCTGTAAGCTCACAGTCTACCTCGGTCTGCTTCACGTCAGTTCCGGTCCTAATATAACCAGTCACTGAAAAATCCTGACATAGGGAGTGTGTTGTGCAATATCTGTAACTGTAATCTGTAACTCAAAATTACCACAAAGTGTTGTGGAAGCACAACCGACAAAAAGGTTACTGAGCATTTCCGATCGCGCACGACCACAATGTAGGCCTACAGCTGCGGTAAACAATGGTTTGAGATAAAATTCCCCCATACGACATATGTGTAAATTTGCTTCAGGCTCGCTCGCTCCGCAGCAAAAAAGGTTGGGTGAAATACAATTGTCATTTTCCCGAAAAGTAGGCTAAAGAAAAATATCCAACTCGAAGTTTAACTCGAAGTCCAACTCGAAGTCCAACTCGAAGTCCAACTCGAAGTCCAACTCGAAGCCCAACTCGAACTCGAACTCGAATCCAACTCGATGTTACCTAACTCCCGACAGAACAACAGAACAAATTACAGTAAATCACAACAAACCGCGGAAATGGGACAATTTTTGTATTTTTACTGTAAGACATGCAGAACATGTACGAAATCCATACAGAAGTGTGTGTGTATTCTATACTTTTGAAACAACTAAATCAGACTTCGGAAAATTTGACAGTATTAAAGCTACTTTTGAGAATTTAGTTTTTAGGTCTTCGTTTTACATGTACCCAGTAAATATTTTTGAGTTTTGAATTTTGATTCTCACAAGCTTACAATTTATTTACAATTTGCTCTGGCTCTGCCGTGCTGCACGGCAGAGTTGATCGGAATTGTAACAAATACGCGTACACTTAAATGGCTTCCTGAATTTAGGCAATCAGATGCGTTAAATTACTCGTTTCAATTTCATGTTTATGCTCGAAACTGCTCATGTTTACAATAGCAATTCTAACAATCTTGCCCTCCTTTTCGCCTTTGAGGCGTTGGTGTTGATTTATACACAAAATTCAAAACTCAAAAATATTTACTGGTCTGGGTACATGTAAAACGAAGACCTAAAATCTAAATTCTCAAAAGCAGCTTTAATACGGTCAAATTTTCCGAAGTCTGATTTAGTTGTTTCAAAAGTATATAATACACACACACTTCTGTATGGATTTCGTACATGTTCGGCATGTCTTACAGTAAAAATACAAAAATTGTCCCACTTCCGCGGTTTGTTGTGATTTATTGTAATTTGTTCTGTTTTTTTGTAGCGATTACCGATTTATCGGCAAATACCGCGATAAAACTTACTTTTATTTATTTATTTCATTCTACAGCATTTATAGTTCTACAGCTATCTTATACAGTTTTATAATATTGTGAATGATTCCGAATATTCAAAACGGATTGAAAGAATGAAAGCAGTCAATGATGTACTGTATAACGGTTTAAACTTAGCCGGCCGTACAGCTCACTGCCACCGCTGGTCACTCAGACACTGTCCACTGAGCCGAAGGATAAACCGAAAATTCACTTTTCTCATCACAAGATTTAATGTTCAGTCGATCTGCTACATTGAAAGATGAGTATACTTGGCTATATTTTGGCAGGGGTAACGAAATATATCAGCTGTCAGTCTAAGACTAAGTGTTTTCTCTGAAGTGTTTCTTTATGCGTTACCGTTGGCATTATAATAATATAATATAATATAATATAATATTATACCTCAAATTCAAATTGTCCAATGAGAAAGCTAGATTTGTGCCATGTGATCGTGAAATTTATCATCGTATCGCGCTTACGTCATTCGTATTTGGTGCAGCAAGAAATTTCAGTCATATTCACCGGTGAATATGAGTCAAATTCACAGGTGAATATGATTCGCGAACATCACGCGAGACCACACGCAAGGCTAAAAAATGGCGGGAACAATGTTGTTTGCTTGAAAGGCAAAAATGACAGAGTCTGACGAGGAAATAAATCGAATTCTCGACGAGAGACATGCAGAAAATACAATGGAATTAAAATTTTGTCATCCACATCCAATAATTTTGGTGGATTTACAGTTAATTTTTACGCTGTTTAGTACTTTTTATATTTGTTATTTATTTGTGTGGAAATAAAATTTGACACCAGCCTTGTAGTCTATGTGTTTGTATTCTGCAAACTCAAAAATCTTTTTCGGTATAATATATCATTTATAGACCCTCCGCTCGGGGGATTCGGCGAAATATTTCCCGAAGTGATGATATTTCCCTCGGGCTTCGCGCCCTCGGGAAATATCATCACTTCGGGAAATATTTCGCCGAATCCCCCTCGCTCCGGGTCTATAAATGATAAATATAATATAATATAATATAATATAATATTTATCATTTATAGACCCGGAGCGAGGGGGATTCGAAGCCCGAGGGAAATATCATCACTTCGGGAAATATTTCGCCGAATCCCCCGAGCGGAGGGTCTATAAATGATATATTATACCGAAAATTAAAAGCCTCCAAGTTGAGAAATAAAAACTTGACACATACCTTCGTGAATACGATGTTTTAGTTTCGGATTAACGCAAGTATCGTCGCTTTTCTTTCGAATCACATATCGTTTGGAATATTAATGACAACATTTTTCAAAATTTACTTCAAAATTTTGAAAAAGCCCCAGGTTTTACAGTCATTTACCCAGATTATTCATCACTCATCAATACTATTTATACTTTGTCGGCCATGTTGTTGTCATGCGTGTTGTCTCGCGTGGTCTACGCGAATCATATTCACCGGTGAATTTGACTCATATTCACCGGTGAGTATGACTGAAATTTCCTGCTGCACCAAATACAAATGACGTAAGCGCGATACGATGATAAATTTCACGATCACATGGCACAAATCTAGCTTTCTCATTGGACAATTTGAATTTGAGGTATAATATTTATCAGTTATAGACCTGAAACGAGGGGTATTCCACAAAAAATTACCCTGAGGGATGAAATATTCCGAGGGCGAAGCCCGAGGAATATTTCATCCCGCAGGGTAATTTTTTGTGGAATACCCTGAGTGAAAGGTCTATAAATGGTATATTATACCGAACCTTTCAAAAATAAGTAGAAAACAAATACCATTCAATTAACTTTTAATTTCAAAACACAACTTTTGATAACTTTAGGCGACGGACTAAGTTCAAAGTCGAATTTCCCGCTCAAGCATGGTATTCGAAGTCGAATACCATGGCCCCGGGTAAAACACCCAGGGTTCAAATTGCCTAGGTCATAGTATTCGCTGAAAAATACCATGGTCATGTGGTACAAATTTAGTTCTCTGATTGGACAAGCTCATTGTGAGGTATAATATAATATAATATAATATAATATAATATAATATAATATAATATAATATAATATAATATAATATAATATAATATAATATAATATAATATAATATAATATAATATAATATAATATAATATAATTATGTATAATTTATAATATAATATAATATATTATAATATAATATAATATAATATAATATAATATAATATAATATAATATAATATAATATAATATAATATAATATAATATAGAGAGTAAATTATAAACATAAACATAACTACATAACTCATAAGCTTGACAGATGTAAGATAACGAGTTTCACAATCCTATTTTAAATACAACTATGGCTTTTGGCAGTTTTGCATATGTGTTTTTTAAAAGCCCAATTTTCTTACTTCCCCAACGTGTAAAACGCGAAAAAACTTTATTAATAAGAACAAAAATTTGTAATAGTAAACAGTGTATTTTATAATATAGTATTTTATTATAGTTTTAATATATTATATTATATTATATTATATTATATTATATTATATTATATTATATTATATTATATTATATTATATTATATTATATTATATTATATTATATTATATTATATTATATTATATTATATTATATTATATTATATTATATTAAAGTATACTGCTCCGTACTCCATGTACTCCGTGCGCTCCGTGTGCTCCGTGTTTTACTAATAGCCAAGTGATAGCCAGTCTCAAAAAAATAGTGTAATGGTGTAAACGCGCCACATTTACCTTGGAATGGCCTTGGGCAAGGCGGCCAAGGCTTGTTGTGTAAACACGACTATAGAGAGCTTTAGCGGCGACTACGAGTACCAGTACGAGATTCATCAATGCGAAAGCACGCTGTATGCTTTTGGCAT